TCTAGCCTGACTGTCTCCTCCTCCTCCTCCTCCTCCTCTTTTTGAAATCTCCCTAATCTAAGAAGTTGTCTAGAGCTTGTTTCTTCTGACGCCCCCATTTCCCTTCTGAAGAAATGGAGGCATAGAAATGTTCAGTGTTTGGCTTCAAATTTGACATAGTTAGAGGCAGAATTTGAATTTAGTATTCACTATCACACCTAAGACTGTAGAAAGTATAGAATGTGTTGAGGTTGATGAATGCAGGGTGTCAGAGATTGAAAAGTCCACAATGGATAAGACCAGCCATGAATAATGGAGCTGCTACTAAGTACATGTTTCTGTTTTTGTTTTTAAATCAAAGACTATTTATTTACTTATGGTGCTGGGGATTGGACCCAGGGCCTTGTACATTTGAGGCAAATACTCTACCAACTGAGCTATATCCCCAGCCCCTAAAGTAAACATTTTCTCTAAAATATTAATCATTCTTTCAGGAGATATTTATTATGTGCCAGACACAATGCTAGACACGTGGGATACGAGGATAAATAAGATAAGATTTTTTTGCCTTATTTTATAAAATAATATTATATAATTTGATTTTCCAATGATAAAGTATTGAAGAGGAAAACATGAAATAGTGATTTAAGAAGGAAATGCAGTCAGGGAAGATAAAGAAATAAAATTCACTAAAAGTAAAGTTTCTAATATTTTATAGCTATGGATAGCTATAAATTTTATAGCTCCTCAAAGGCAATCTGATATAAATTATGAGAGTATCCAAATTAAATAATCTCTGTGGGTTCTTATTGAAAGTGGATGATTCTGGCTGTGCAAGCTTTTTATTGAAAAATCTCCAATCTAGATCAATGATAGAACAAAATCATAGCTGGAGTTCATGATTGTAAGAATTGGAACACAGGTCGGAAAAATAGGGTAAGGGTGGGAGGAGTAGAGACAGTTGAATTTTGAGGTTTTTCTGCATCCAGTCTTTCAGATTCTAGGTTCCTGGCTTGACTGTCTGCATGGTCACCTATTCCTTTTTCATAGGTATGTGATATATCATCTTCATGGGAAGATGTATTGTTTCTTTATAAACATAAATTTATTTTAAAAATTTACCCTTAGAGGACAAACGAAAACAAAAAAAAAACATAAAAAGCTCTCATGATCACCTGGTCTACCTTTTCCATCTTAGAGATAAGGACATGAAACTTAATAGCAGGGGGGACCCACTCCAAACTCCACATAGTTTCTGGCAAAATCCAGGTTTCCAGCTGGGTGTAGTGGAACATGCCTGTAATCCCAACAACTCTGGAGGCTGAGGCAGGAGGATTGCAAGTTCAAGGCCAGCCTCAGCAATTTAAGGAGTCCCTGTCTTGAAATTAAAAAATAGAAAAAAAAAATAGGGCTGGGGATGTGGCTCAGTGGTAAAGCACATCTGGGCTCAATCCCCAGTACAACAAAGGGAAAAAAAAAAAAATTCCAGGTTTCCTAACACTTTGCCTGGTGTGGTTTTGGAATAGCACAAATAAGTGGGGAAATGGAGAGACACAGGGAGAAGGCACCTGAGGAGTAATGCCCCTTACGCCTTTGTTCTTAGTCTGTTTGTATTCTAAAAAAGAACCGAGCTTTCTTCCTCCAGAGCTGGGAAATTGAGCTGAAATGCTGGAACACAGCCTAACACCTCTGGTGAAGGTTCTGAGGGCTGCTATGACCCACAGTCTGTTCAAGTGTGAGGCTCCTACAGAAGGAAGAGCCATAAGTATTGATTCAGGAAGAGAAATGCTTCCAGGTAAAGGTTAGCCTCCAAGACAGAAACAACTCCCTTTGGGCTGTTTGACTCCTTTTGCTGCGTGGTCCTTGCAGTGCTAGCAAGGACCTTGAGTTTACTGCTAAACTTGACTGCACTCCTGGGAGGGGACTCAGAAAGCCTGCCTGTCTTGTTTACTATGAGATCACAGGACTGCACCTGGCATGGAGCAGATACTCAGGAAGTGTTTGCTGAATAAGTGAAAGATGAGAAAAAGGAACAAAAAAGCATTGCTTTTTGTCCTGAGAATGTGTCCAACGTTTGCTGTTGATCATTTCGGTGACTTTCCCTAGTGTTACCTACTATTTGGTCCAATATCAGAAGCTTATGCTCAGTGCATTTCTGTTCTAGCAAACTGAATCACATCTCTGTGCTCCAACCAGAGAAATGTAGTTGAACTTCCATATGAAACTGACACAACCCAAAAGTCAGCATCTTGTCTTGCTGATCTGAGGCTCCAAAGGGCCTGTAGGGGTACCCTGAAAATACTGGCCTCTGATTTCTCTCCATCTGAGGGCATGCTTCTCACTCCATAACCTTGGTGGGAGTCCTGTAGGTCCCATCAGACCACTAACAATTCCACACCTGGAACCACTATTGATATATCTTAGAATGTTGCGGGAAACAGTTTTGATCTGGCTGTCCAGCTCAAAGCCCACACATCCTTTCAGAGATTTAAAAACTGTTATTATTGCCCCATTCCCTCCAGGTGATGTCAGATTAGAGATGAGCAGCAGTCAACCGAAGCTTCCCAACAGTCTTCCAGTTTGATTTGCCTCTTGGGAATTGCTCCTGTGCATGAATCTGAAGCCAAACCCAGTCCATTCGAGTTACTTGTCAATTGCCAGGAAAACAAAACTACAGAGGAGATGGATGGTACACACGTAGGCAGAGGATTCAGACATCTGTGAGAAACAGGTAGGAAAATGTCCCAGGACATTATTCGGAGGCAGACCTCACCTGTGGTGTAAGTAGGGAGGACAGGATGGTGGCAGAGGTGGGAAGAGTACATTTTGCCCTTCTGTAGGTGAACTTGAATGTGTCCTGACCTTCCCAAACAGCTCTCCTCTCCAGTAGCTCCCACTTACCTCTGCGGTGGGCTGTTCCCAAGCTTCTCCAAGGTCCTGGTGAGAGGTCAAGCCTGGATCTCTTCCCTTTAAAAGTGCTCAAGTGTCTGTTGCCCGCTAACCCTGTTGTTATTTGGGTGGGTCGGGAGGCCGGCCCTAGAGATCTGATCGCATTACAGAGCCTCCCACTGGCTCCAGCCAGGCACGTGATGAGAGAAAAAGTTTGGGTCTGTTTGGACTGAAGACAAAATGCCCTTTTTTTTTTTCCTAAAAGGCATGTCCTTAAAACTGAGAGGACACACGCACTTCAAACAAGAGCCTGAATAAAGTGCATTTAGTCACTGGTCTGGGTTCCTTTCTTTTTCTTTTCTTTTCTTTTTCCTTTTAAAAAACTCCCTTCCTCTTCTACACTTAAGAAAATGTCCCCATCTTGTAGGGGACAGGTTAATAAAAGACTTGGGCATCAGATGATGGAAGGCAGTCTGCGTTAATAAAAAAGAGTTAAGAGACCGGAAGATATAACTTTCTTCTTTTTTATTGTTTCTTTTCCTGCAGAGGCAGGCAGGCAGGGAGGGGCAGGAGAGCTGCACACGGGGCTATTGCTACTAGAGACTCCAGATGTAGGAAAGGCAAAGCTGTAGAGGGCCTGTGTATTTCACAGGGGAAGTTAGCAAACAGGAGACACGTCACGGAATGGGGAATGCCATTGTAAAAGAACTGAGTTATTTTAAAATTTCTAAAAAATCATTTTAAAACAGGCCAATATATGCATATGATATAAAACACAAAGGAGTCAGTCCAGGGGTGCTCTACCACTAAGATACATCCCCAGCTTTTTTAAAAAAATTTAATTTAATTTTTTTTTATTATTAGTTGTTCAAAACATTACAAAGCTCTTGACATATCATATTTCATACATTTGATTCAAGCAGATTATGAACTCCCATTTTTACCCTGTATACAGCTTTTAATTTTTCTTTTAAGACAATCTTGCTAAATTGGCTAGGCTGGCCTTGAACTTGCAGTCCTCCTGCCTCAGCCTCTCTAGTAGCTGGAATTACAGGTGTGTACCACTGTGCTCTGTTGCCCTGTTTATTTATTTATTTATGTACTGGGGATTGAACCCAGGGGGACTTTACCATTGAGCCATACCCCTAGCCCTTTTAATTTTTTATTTTGAGACAGGGTCTTTCTAAGTTACTTACGGCCTCACTATAAATTGCTAAGGCTAGTCTCAAACTTGCAATCCTGCCTTAGCCTCCCTAGCCACTGGGATTACAGGTGTGAACCACTACTCCTAGCTTCCATGTTCTTTTTAGTGGTGGTATGCTGTGCCACTGTATGGATGTGTCATACTTTATTTGACCAATAAAAGACCATGTCTTGGGGGCTGGGGCTGGGGCTCAGTGGTAGAGTGTTCACCTAGCATGTGCAAGGCCCTGGGTTCGATTTCCTCAGCACCACATAAAAATAAGTAAAGGTATTGTGTCCAACTACAACTAAAAAATAAATATTAAAAAAAAAAAAGACCATGTCGTGGACATCTTACCCTGCCTAATTCCTTCTACAAAGCCAGGGCTCAGTAAACATTCAATGCTTACTCACAAATTTATTACATTTTATACAGTTTATGTTTTTGCTCACTTCTCTTCTTAGAATATTAATACTTTCTCTCTCTCTTTCTCTCTCTGTCTCTCTCTCTCTTTTGGTACTGGGGATTGAACACAGAGGTGTTTTACTGCTGAGCCACATCCCCAGCCAGGGTCTTACTAAGTTGCTTAAGGACTCCCTATAAATTGCTGAGGCTAGCCTCGACCTTTCATTCCTCCTGCTTCAGCCTCCTGAGCCGCTAGGAGTATAGATAGGCATGAACCACTCTGCCCGGCTAGAATACCAATCTTTTTTTTTTCAACATTCTAGATGCTTATGTTTTCATCCCCTGGCAGGCCAAATCTATCTTGTTCACTGATCTAACCTGACTACCTGACTTCCAAGGCTCTCCTTACTCTGGCTCTTTTCATATAAGATTATTTCCACTCCTTTCTCCTTACTAATGCTCAAACGTCCTTGTCATTCACAACTGTTGTTCACTGATGACAATGCACAGAAACTGTTTTTCTTTTCTTTTCTATTACCCCTACCTGAATATCATCGCTGATGCTGATCCTCCCGCTTGGAACATCCTTCCTGTTCCTGTCCACTCTTCTATGTCAGTGCTTTTCTTTCTGAACTTTTTTTCTTTTCTTTTCTTTTCTTTTAAGCTTATGAGAACAACATGCAGAGTAGCAGAAACTGTTTTCCTATAACCATTTCATTTAGGACCTTTATGTATTTCCATGGCACTAATAACTTTGGTACATAATAGATCCTCAGTAAATAGCTGATGGCTGGACAAGAATTACAGGGAAGACTGTCTTTCCAGTGAGAATATCTCTAGAGCTGTCTTTGGAAGGCTGCTCAGCTTTCCTTGTCTTATGGGATGTGAGACACCCCCTCCTGGATGATCTTCTTGAATGGAAGTGCTCCTGGAGATAGGAGTCTGTCTGAGCTCAGAGCCCTGTCACCAATCAGCTATTGTGACCTCCACCTCACTGAGTCTCAATCTTTCATCTGTAAAGTGAAGGAAGAGGATTAGTGGATCTCTTAGGCCTCTCCTGATTATCATGTCTGAAGATCTGGAATTGAGATTTATAATCATGTTTATCAATTTCTCTGGAATACGTTCCTTGTGGCCCTTTCTACCAACACACATCAGGTTAGCAACTTCAGAGAAACTCTGAAGCCTTTGGGGTCCCGTTGCTACTGGGACATTATAGAATGTTACCGAAATTTTGAGACAAGATTCTTAATGCTGTTCATATAAAAAAAATCACAGAAGTTTTTGTGATTGAGCTGTAATATTGAAGACTATGGGTGGTGTATGCACACAGAGCAGAGAGAGAGTTTTAGAACTAGAGAATTCCAAAAGATGAATTTTACTCTTCCCTGTAATAATGTACTCTCTTGCCTTCTTTCCATTGGCCTATATTTCCAACTGCCCAGCTCTGTAAAGACAAAGATCATCTTTCTTTGCAAAGTACCAAGTGTTCAGTTAGCAGTCTCAAAGATTTTCCTAAGAACAATAATCAAAAGGATCTAATAACAACTAATTCTCAGTTTTCTAGTAAAATTTCCTAAGTTGTCACCTTATATTTCCATAGGCAACATACTTTCTATGCCTGGAGAAACTAGCTGTCTTTTTCTTCTTATCTTTTTCTTCTTCTTTTTCTTTTTTTTCTTTTTCTTCTTATGTTTAGTAGAATTAAACAAAACAAAACAAAACAAAAAAACCAAGCTATCTTTATTCTATGTCCATGAAGTCAAGGTAACTTGAAAAACATAAAGCAGGATCAGGTCATTCCACTAGAAAAAATCTTCCAGGGTTTCCACTGCACTTGGAATACTGTCTTTTCGCAGGCATTAAGACTGTGCTCTGCAGCCTGGGGTCCAGCCTCTCTGCCTCTGGTCCACCCCACGCAGCTGCCAGGGCCTCTTATCACTACTTCTAACCTGAAAAACTTGTTTCTTATCCTCTAGCACAATTTATTACTTTGAAGTCCTTATCTGTTTCTCTATGATTGGGTGCTTCCTGTCTTCATCCCTGCCTATAAGTCACCTCTTCAGTGAGGCCTTCTTTGACCTGCATGGAAGTGATTTCCCCTAATCCAGTTATTCTCAGTCACATAATCTCATTAGTTTCCTTCAAGAAAACTACCACAATTTCTCATTATCTTTCATTTCTTACTTGAATGTTTGTTTTGTCAGTCCCTCCTATCAAATGGTCCCTGCGAGGAGGAGGCTAAGAACCATGTCTGTTTTATTCACCAGTGTGTATCCTCTAGTGTTACCATAGAGCCCTTGTCACAGCAAACGGGCCATAAATAAAAATGACTGGATGAACATTTAATCCCCAAGACTGACCTGGGAATCAGAAACTCAAATCCCCATTTTATCTCTGGAAGCTGGGTGACCTTGAATAAGTTATTTAATTCCTTTCTGTGAAATTAGGGGATCTGTTGGTTGGAATATTTATATTTTTTTAATTTTTAAAATTAATGACAAATTAATTTAAATTAATTAAAAATTAAATTGTAGTTGGACACATGCCTTTATTTTATTCATTTATTTTTATGTGATGCTGAGGATCAAACCCAGTGCCTCACACATGCTAGGCAAGTGCTCTATCACTGAGCCACAACCCCAGCCCCTGGTTAGAACATTTTTATGAACTCTCTCAGCATTAGAAATTTAAAGGGCTATGATTACTTACTTTTATTTTTATTTGTTTATGTTTGGGTTACCGGGGTTTGAACTCAGGGGTACCCTGAAACTGAACTACTGTAAGGGTCCGGCGAAACGTTGGAGTAAGAGACCACAAGAGACTGTCTTATGCAACAGCAGAAGGGTGGGTTTATTTGGAGACCAGCATGCTGGGGCTCGAGCTCTCTATAGCAAAGAGAGAGAGAGCCCTGAGAACAGCTTGAGCAGAGCTTATATACTTTCCCTGGAGAGGGCAGCGAGAGAAGTTACATTTTGTAGTTTGGCAGTTGGGGACAGCTCATTCTGGGAACAAGATTAGCAGACAGTCCACAGTTAGGGACAGCACATTCTGGGAACAAGATTAGCAAACAGTTCTTAAGATTTCAACAGTATTTTGTTAAGCATATAGAGAAACGGAGTGACAAGTACCTATTTTATTAACCTTTCATTTTCCATTTTTTCTTTTGGTTACTTTTAATCATAAAAGTGACCACTGGGGGGTGTCATATTCTGTGTCTGCTAGTGGGGTATATTGTTGTCTGATTACCATAAGTTTGATTTGTCCAATTTGGGCCTGGAGAAAGGAAATTACATGGTTGGGCAAACAGGGTCCTAATGTTAGCAACAATATAAGAATTATTAGAGGACCGGCCAAGGCTGATAAAAGCGTAGTTAACCAGGGGGACTGTGTGAACCAAGACTCATATCACCCTTTTTGGGTTTTTCTCTCTCTTTGACGCTCTTCAAGGCATTTTTTTTTAGTTTACTCATAGATTTTTTTACAACTCCAGTATGGTTGGCATAAAAACAACATTTTCCCCTTATTGCAGCACAAAGGCTTTCTTCTCTCAAGAAGAGGAGGTCCAACCCTCGCCTGTTCTGTAAAACAACTTCAGAGAGAGAGGTTAAAGATTCCTGTAAAGTTGTGATGGAGGTTTCTAATATCTTTAAGTTTGGGTCCATTGCTGTTTCTAATTGGGTCATTTGTTGTGTCCCATGGACCAGGGCAGTAGTCCCTGTGCCCATCCCTGCAGCAATTCCCATTCCTAATAAGATGGCTAAAGTGAGGGATACAGGTTCCCGGTGAAACCGGGTTGTATGTTTTTCTATTTGATCTTCAAATGAATCTGCGTCATGAAAGAGCATTCTGGGAAACATCTGCACCGTTACATAATAATTTATAGAGTTGTTAAATATCTGGGCTGAAATGCAAGGAGTCAACCCTGTGTTATATGTCCACAAAGTTCCATTATCAGGAGTAAGGAAACCCTGTGTGATGCTAATATTTTTTGTCTGGATATATAAGTGTTGTTTACTTTTAGGTGGAGACCTTATATATAAGCTTGCCTCGGTTACTTCTGGGAGGGTTAACTTAGGATTTTCACCCTAATTACAGGAGGAATTCTGCACTTTTATTGCATAAGTTCCATCAATTGCTATCTCTTCATAATAAGGAGGAGCAGAGGAGAGACAGAGCCAACAAGACTGAGTGAGATCTGGTTGTGTGAAATTCAGCACAGCAAAGGCTCCTTCAATTAGCCTCTAGGGGAAGGGGTTGACTTCATTTTGAATTGGGGGAAGTAAATGAAGGTGAAACTTGAGGAGTATGGGAAAGTGAAAGGTCCCTAGTAGGTTTAGGTTCGGGTGGTCTATGAGGCCCAATTTTTGGCTTGATGGGATTGGGTCCTATGGTCAAGGGAATGTCTTTTCTCTCTAACCTGATAGTGAACCAAAGGTCAAAATCATATCCTGTGGTGTAAAATTGCATTTTATAGGTTTTTCCTGAAAGCTATGTCTAGATATTTTGGTTTCTTCCTTTGGAGGTGAAGGTTATATTTAGGGGGTTGCATAGGCTATTTGTGCTACATGGAGTAGGGTCACCTAGTCCAGAAGTTTCTGCTTGGGGGTTCCGTTTAAATGGGAGACATTGTTTGGGATTTAATTTAGTATTATTCCTTCTTACCCGAATCAGACACTGTCAGGGGAGTTTGGGTTCCATCAGACAGCCCCTGTATGTTCATATCTCTATGACTTACAGAAGAAGTCGGTTTTTCCCCCACATAGCCGTGATTGTTTGCGGCTTCGATAGTCTGCCGGGCAAACATAATAATCTAGGCTAGTTAACCTACATCTGGCTTGCATGTCCCTACATCTATAATGTTTGTTTCCATTATCTATGGTACGGAGGGGATTTAATGAAATTTTAGTGGGATCTTTTTCATTAGGGATATCCCAATAGGAAAGACCTATAGCTAGCTGACAAATATCCGGGTGGATAGATGGTCATTAGGTCCTTAAGGGGGCTGTGTGTAAGACAGACCATACTTCTTGTCTAATAGGATTTATGATCAGCCATTGCTGTTGAATGGGCTGATGAGGATTAGGACTATTGATGGTCAAGGGGAGAATCTATAGCCTTATCCATATGGCAAATACGCAATTTGAGAGGGTTATCAGTCTTTTCCAATTTCTAGCCAGAGTCTGGATAGGGAGCAGGCTTGAGATGAGAGGCATGGATCTTGGAAGTGATTCCGTCTACCTTTACCGCTGTGAGTGTTATAAGTAGCACCTGGTATGGTCTTTTCCAGCGGGGTTCTAGGGATGACACCTGATGTCGTCTTATGTAGACAAAGTCTTTTATTTGATATTGGTGTGGAGTCCCTTCATCCCCAGGTTGGTAGGCAGTGGCCAGCTGTTTCCACAGGTATTGCTGGGTTCTTTCAAGAGCTTTTAGTCTGTCAAGCAAGGGGGTGTGAAAGGAATCGTTAGGTCTTAGAGTTGGGGTCAGGTCCCTTACTGGAGGAGGGGCACCATAGAGAATTTCATAGGGGGTAAGGTTACAGAAAGAAACAGAGAAAGTATTTCTTGCATGAAACAGTGCATAAGGCAGGAGCATAGTCCAATCTTTTATGTTGGTCTCCAAGTTTAATTTCGTTAAGGTCTCTTTAATGGTTCTATTCATTCTTTCTACTTGTCTTGAGCTCTGGGGTCTATAAGCGCAATGTAACCTCCAATTAATTTCTAGGGTCCTGGTTAACCCTTGATTTATTTGGGCCATGAACGTTGGTCCATTATCGGACCTTATTACCTTAGGCAGGTCGTATTTTGGAAAAATATCTTCCAGGATCTTCTTGACCACCATTTGTGCCGTTTCTTTTTTGGCAGGGAAGGCTTCAATCCATCCTGAAAATGTATCTACAAAGATTAGGAGA